CATTCATCAGTGGTATGTACAGACTGTCTGCACAGTTGCATTGTGGTCCATAGAATATAACATGATTTGCATCATTGYATCAGTTATTTTTGAATCATTTGCTTTGTGTGGCATACATGTAATAGGCCRTTTGCATTATGACGTAACTTTACTACAACTACYAGAGAGMCTTGCGCATTTTCAKTGTTATTCAGAYTTTAATCCCCTTGGAGATTAATAAAACAATTGGYACTAAKTGCATTACAAAAGAAAGTTGKCAAAGCATTCTGGTAGTTGTAGTWAATGAYGCSATAATGCATATCGCCTATTGCATTGTGGTCCATGTTGCCTTGTTAGCAATGATTGTTTTACCCATCAATCAGTGAATGGTAAAGTAGGACACAATCATATTGTTGACAATATAAAAGATTGTTTAAATGACATGATGGGTTTTTGATAAAATTGTGTGTTTACCCATAAATCCATGGTGCCCACTGTTGTTTGAAAAGATTGTTTTACACGCAATCTCTTTAAGGCTGTGTCATTATTGTTTTTTTTTTTTTTGTAGATGTTAGCAAACTATCTCTGATAAAAGAAAGACTCCCACCTCACATTTCTTTCGGGCACATCAGAATAGTGATAGCAATAGTTGAAAGTCAAGCAAAGCCTTCGATAGTGCCTCAACAGTCCAGGAATGTGKTCACTGCAACCAACACAAACACTATAACACCATCTCAAGGAATAAAAAGAAAGGTTCCTGAATGGTTATCAACGACACAATTCAAACCAGGAAACAAAGCAAAGAAGAAAAACCCATTCTAAAAGAAGGAAAGCCTGGAAGACATTGTTATATTTTGGAATAATTTACTTTATTGGGGAAAGCTGAAACAACTACACTTCAGTGACAATGTGCCAACCAAGTATTTATTTTCAGCTCAATTGAAACAAAACAAATTATAAAAAGGAAAATTGAATTTATGGTTATGTGTAGTAGTTTGTAGTTGTGAGCTGATTGTCATCATGACAATTCAAACACCAATGAAAGATTAAGAAATTAATAGTTGTTAAGTAATATATAGAAACAGTAGACATTGTCATCCCTCTAAAGTTAGGAGAGTTCAAAGTGGGAATGGGTTTAAAAATTGTTGCCTGAAGCATGGTAGATAATATATAGATCTTAGATTTTGTAGACAAACCAACACTAAAAAATTTGTACAGCATGTTTGTACTGTAAGATGAAAGAATGATGCAAATTAGAGTGCATGCCACATAAGTGTGAAACAAATCTTAACTAATTATTGCCTGATATGATTTAGTTATATCAAGTAACTAAGAATTCAGCGAGGCATAGGCAATTTCCTTTTTGGTATTGTTTTTATGCCCCAGTGAATTGTTTTTGTTAACTAAATCTTATTAGTTATTGATTGTTGAGAATTTATTCATGCTTTTTTGGCTAGCACTCAGAGTTACAGGCAAGAGCTTTTGACCGGCCATATAGACACAGCGTTTATTGTTAGGTTTATTTTCATAACCAACGTCACATTGTAAACTTTTTTACAGGCAATATATAGTTTAGGCTTTCCTACTAAGTTTAAAGGTATGAGGTTTTCTAAGRACATTGTTAAAAATAACGAGATAATAAGATTATTTTATTAAAAGCCATTAGTTTATAATAACAAACGTTGTTGCTGTTAGTAGTAATTCTCACTCCTTCATAAAAAGAAGATTGCTAAATGTATCAGTATCTAGACTGTAATTTATCTATCCCAGTTTAGTCTTATTAATAGTAAAATACCTTCTCTGAAACAATGAACAGAAATATTTGTGAAACAATATCATTCTATAGCTCAACACTGCCTCAATATTGACCTCAAAAAATGCGTATTTTTGAGTGTCAACATTACAGCAGAAACCATTGCATCGCGACTTCAATGTTCAAAGGAAATCGTTGGGATTTAGGATTTTCTGCGACTTGGGGGTGGAGCTTGATACAAATCAGCCAATGATTGAATGAGTTTTCGAAAAGCTCCGCCCCTCAGATTGAAAGAAAGAACAAAATCCAGACAAACTTCAAAACAAAGAAGTCTCGATGCAACGATTTCCACTGTAAAAAAAGTACATTTTGTWTATTTTCTTTTGTTTCATAATTATGTGCTCTTGGTCAGTACAGAGGMAGATCAAGTATCAGGGCTGGTCACATTTTAGAAGCGACTTGTCCTGGRTRCAAAACCAGTATTTGTGAAGAACATTTAATGACACTTTTTATTGTCTTTTAAAGTACGACGAAGTACACTTGAACCACGCCATAAGTTACCCTGAAAAATGAAGAAGAGAGGCACTTGAAAATTTGCCTTAAATGATGGCTGACACTTTTATAGACTTAAACTTACACCAGATCTAAGATGCTTGAAGCAGTCCACCCAGTCATCATAGATGGGCATGTTCGGAGGTGATCCACCAGCAAGCCTGTTTAGTAGAAAAATGTTTGATTTAACATGGCAATGCATTAGCCTGATAACTT